CTGCAACCACAGGTGGGGAACTTCGGTTTCCTCTGTCACTGAGGCAAGCAAGCCTCATGTTAGTTTCAAGCTTCCTGGCCGTTGGCCGCCATCTTGGCTGTCAGTTAATTTGCCTATCTCGTTTGTTAGCCAATGGGAAGGGTAGTGGTCGTACGCCAATTACCATGTTTCTCTTTTATTAGTGTAGATGTTTACTTTGAATTTATATTAGTTCACACAAACACTCCATCCATGCTTTTGTTCCGGCCCTCTGGTCCAGTTTAAGAATCCATTGTGGCCCTCGGGTCAAAAAGTTTGCCCACCCAGCCTAAGGACTGCACCACACCAGCCAGGGCTTTCCCATTGCTTTTTCCTGACTATAATTTCTTCCTAACATGAAAAGGACTTTATGACATATACTTACAAAATGTGAAGAATATATATATCCAATCTAAGGTTGCACACATGAAAGAAAAGTAAAGTTTTTATATGGTTTTGTGGATTTTTAGAGAAGAAGGGAGGGGATAGAGAGAAACATCAATAAGGGATAAACATTGATTGGCTGCATCCTGCACATCCCCCACCATGGGCATCCTGTTACCTGGGCATTCGGCCCAACTGGAAATCGAACCATTGACATCTTGAATTCATGAGGCACACTGGCCAGGCAAGAGAAATAAAATTTTATGCACCACATCAGTCAATAGTAAAACCTAAAGAAAAACTGGAGAATATAATTTGATGGTGTAAAGGAGACTTATTACTATAAAAACCCACTGGCTGTTGTGGCTCAGTTGGCTGGAGTTTCATCCCATGCACTGAAGTGTTGTAGGTTCGAATCCTCATTAGAGTACATATGCAGGTTGTGGGTTTGATCCCCAGTAGGGGTGCATAAGTCGGGCAACCCATTGATATTTATTTCTCACACTAACGTTTCTCTTCCTCTCCCTTTCTCTCTCCAAACATATTCTGCAGTGAGGATTAAAAGAAAAAATGCCCCTTGTTAAAGTTAATATAAAATCCTACATTGCTCTTTTGACAGTTCTTTTTTTCCCCAAGTTATTATAACTTCAGATCTTTTAACACGGAATACATATATGGTATCAAATACTTTCTTTTTAAAACATTTTTTAATTGATTTCAGTAAGGAAGGGAGAGAGAGAGAGATAGAAACATAATGATGACAGGGAATCACCAATCCATTGCCTTCTGCACGCCCCACACTGGGGATCCAGCCCACAACCCAGGCGTACGCTCTTGACCGGAATTGAACCAGGGACCCTTTAGTCTGCAGATCAACACTCTATCCACCAAGCCAAACCAGCCAGGGCTCAAACCCTTTCTTAAATGGTATTTTTCTCCTGCTGGTTTTGTTTTGTTTTTTTAAAAAGCAACTACTCTAAGTAAAACTGCTAGAATGGTGTTTGCACATTCAAAATTTTTTATATATCACCAAACTGACTTTGTCAACAAAATATTGTAACTTTGTCAACAAAATCTTGTCTTTACTAAAATTCATGTGTATGCTACAATTAGTGTTTGTAATATAATCTACATTTTTAATTCATTTTTCACACAAAAATTCTCAAATTTGTAAAAAAAATCACAAAAGTCCGAAATAACCAAAGCAATCCTGGAAAAAAAAAAAAAAAAAAAAAGAATGAAGACGGAGGTACCAAACTCTGACATCAAATGATATTACAAAGTTACAATATTCAAAGCAAGGTGTTAGCAGAAAAATAGACACACAGATAAATGCAACAGAATTTTGGGCCCAGAAAAAAACCCAAATGGATATGGGAAAGAATTTTTGACAAAGGAGCCCAAACACACAATGTAGAAAAGAAAGCCTTTTCAATAAATGGTGCTTGAAAAATTGGAAAACTACATGCATAAGGGTGAAACTAGACTACTGTTTGTCCCAATGTAGAAAAATTAACTCAAAATGGATAAGATCAAAAACCTAAACATACAACCTGAAACAATAAATTACATAGAAAACACGGGTACTAAACTTACAGATGTTGGTCTTAGAGAGAACTTTATAAATTAGACCCCCACGGTAAGGGATTAAAAGGAAAAAATAAATGTGTATGCATCAACCAAAAGAGCAACCAACCAAATGGGAAAATGTATTTGCAAGTAATACCTTCGATAAGATGGACAACCTAAGTGTCCTTCAATAGATGACTGGATAAAGATGTGGTACATACATACAATGAAGTACTAATCAGCCGCAAGGAAAGATGAAATATTGCCATTTGCAACATGGATAGTACTTAAGAGCATTATGCTAAATGAAATGTGAGATGAGAAAAGACAAAAACTGATTTAACTGACATGTGGGATATAAAACAAAAAGCAATAAATGAATGAACAAAGAACAAATAAACTCATAGATACAGACAAGAAAACAGTGGTTACCAGAAGAGCAGAGTGCAGGGGAGAGAGGGAGAAGAAAAGGAGAGGGCGTCAAATATGTGGTGACTGGAAATTACACTTTGGGTTAAGAGTACACTATATAGTACAGACATTTTATATGATAAGGCTGTACATTCAAAATTTATGGTACCCCAATCAATTTAGGTTGCCATAAAGAAAATTTCAAATTAGGTTTGCCATATAGAAAATTTCAAATTATTCACCTTGTCCTTTTTTGTAATGTTAATTGTAAAGGAATAAAACAAAACTGGTTGAAATGCAATACTTTGTCTGTGTTTTGTATTAGAAAAAGCAGTTACCTTTGCTGCTTTTTTGTCTCCTTCTGTGCATACACCTAGAAGCTGTCTAAGTAGAAAATAAGAAATTTCCAATTCTGTGAAGATCTCTGGTAAGGCTCCAACAGTTCCAACCACCTGCCCCACCATTCTGTCAGCATGGCACAAAGTGGGATCAAATTTTGTTCCAACTCCTGATTATAAATAAAATATATATTTCCATATTTTATTTCTTAAAATGTTTATAAAGATAGACGAGTACAGTATGTATCTATGTAATGCAGTTACATTTTGCTTATACCATATAACAGCAACATAATCAAAATCACAAATTATTCCCATACAAATAAATCCCTGCTTTCTCTCAAAAATAACACTGGAAACAAGTGTTGTTGGAAAGTAAAGAATGAAAAGATTCTCTTGATTAAATTATAAGGGTAAATGATATGCCTACCTAACTAAAAATGAATTTCACTTATTGTTAATGTTGGCAGTACACAGGTATTGACTAAACAAGATACCTACTAAGGACTCCTAGTGGCTAACTAGGTACAATTTAAAAAATAAAGCCTAGGAGAGCATTTGAGATCTTGCTCCCTGGCATGTCATTAATTTGGCTCAAATAAACCCTTATAAAAATTTAAAAAATAAAATAAAGTCTCGCAGCCATTCTAAAGAAGGGTCTCTCATGAAAAACCTCACTTCAAGGAGAAGCTGCTTGCCTCCAAACTAAACTGCCTTCCTGCACTGTGGTCCTTATAAGGCCAACACCATCCATTTGTAGCTATACAGCTGTATCCCAATTATAATTTTCACTGACCAATGAGAACATACAAATGAGTGACCAGGAGCAATATCTCTAAGTCAGCTCCTCTTTTGCTCAGGGAATGCTTTTTTTTTCCTACCCATGAAAGACTGAAGATTGTGTTTACCCAAAGGGAAGAATGGTGTGTCATCAGAGCACAGGAGAGCAGAACAAAGCAGAGTTGTCTAGATAGAGAAGGGCCTTGCCCATGGGAAGCTAAAAGCAGCCATGCAGCACAACTGAGCAGTAAAATTAAATAAAGTTTTACTTCTTTACCTCATCCAAACTGGGATTCCTGTTTATGTAGAATTGGTAACAGCTATCATAACACACGTTTATCATTATATTATTATTAGAAGCTCGGTACACAAATTTGTGCACAAGTGGGGTCCCTCTGGGTGGCCTGCAAGAACTGGGCCAAAACCCAGTCCAATGCCACCTGCAGCTCCTACCTACAGTTCCCGCTCATTCTGGCCCCGCTATGCCTGCCGTAGGCTTGCGCCCAATCAGGAGAGGTTCTCGCTGCTGCAGCAACACTCGCCAGCCCTGAACCCTGCATCTGGCACCCTCCGAAGGGGAGTGGCCTGTGAGATGGGCTGAAACTGACTCTCTGACATCCTGAGGGGATCTGGATTGCAAGAGGGCGCAGGCCAGGCTGAGGGACCCACACCAGTGCACAATTGAGCCAAGGAGGGACTGTGGGAGGGCTTCAGTGCATGTCTGGCCTATCTCGCTCAGTCCCAAACTGCAGGATCCCACCAGCAAGCTAACCTACCAGTCCGAGCATCTGTCCCGTGGTGGTCAGTGCACATCATAGTGACTGGTCAACTGCCTGCCCCTTGGGGGTCAGTGCACATCATAACGAGCGATTAAACAGCCATAGCATATCATTAGCATATTACTCTTTGGTTGTTCAGTTGTTCTGATTTCGGTCTACTTGCATATTACCCTTTTAATATATAGGATACTAGAGGCCCGGTACACAAAATTTGTGCACGCAGGGGCTGGGGGAGAGGTCCCTCAGCCCAGTCTGCACCCTCTCCAATCTTGGACCCCTCAGGGGATGTCCGACTGCCTCACAATCCAACACCACTCGCTCCTAACTGATCACCTGCCTGCTTGATAGCCCTTAACAGCTCCCCTACTGGCTTGATGACCCCTAACTGCTCCTGCCTTGCCCCGCACCTGGGACCCAGGATTACCCCCTCTGCTGTTAACAGGCACCTGAAATCCAGGCTTCCCGCCCTCTGGCTGGCCACAGGCACCCAGAACCCGGGCCAACTGCAGCCACAGGGAACCATAGGCAGGCAGCTTCTCCCGGGACACTGTCGGGAGCTATTAGAAATATTGGCTTAGACAAAGCCATCTTACAAACTGTAAGTTTCTGGTTCCTTCAGAAACTCCTAATTACCAGAAACCACCTGTGTCTTGCAATTTGGCCAGGAGTTAAAAGATAACCTACCCTCACCCTAAGTACACAACTGCTAAATCTCCACTGACAATCACACGTCTCCACTGATAAGCACACAGCCATCCGACGGCTGCTAATTCACGCATCTCTGC